GAACTTTTAATTTTCAGTGATTTTGGGTCTCACAATTGTAGCTAAAGGATTATCATCAAAGGACCTGAATATCATTGTGCCATTATTTCATGTTTCACTATCTAGGTCTCTCTTGATTAAAATGGCTCTTCACTATTCTGTCTCCAGTAAAACATATCAAGCACATAGCAGATATTCAGTAAATATTTTAGAATGAATAAATGAAAGAACTAAGCCTCACACCAGGCTCAGCTAGTCAAGGAAGAAGACTCTGTCCTTTGTAGTCGACATTCCCAGGACCAAAGCCAGTGAGTTCCTTATACATGGTGAGAACAATAAATATTGGTTGAATCGAATCAAATTTCTCAAATCTCTCGCAGAGTACCTAGGAAGGTAAGGACCCAATTAACACTTCATGATCCCAATATCACTGACTTTAAAAACCAGATTGATTTCCATAGAGGAGGGAAAACACAGAGCATGGGAGAATGCAGGAAGCAGAAGGAGTAGGAAGCCTAAACATGGGAAAAAAACATGAAAAAGAATGGATTCAGGGAATTACATTTCACAAAGACCTTGGACTGTACAAGAGGGACCCTGCACGCCTTAAGAATTCTGAAGCATTTTTCTTAAGTTCAGGGATAGATGTGCAGTTTTGTTACATAGGTAAACTTGTGTCAGGGGAGTTTGTTGCACAGATTATGTCAACACCCAGATATTAGGCCTAACAGTATCCATTATTTTTCCTGATACTCTCCCTCCTCTCATTCTCCACCCTCCACCCTGTGAAAGGCCCCAGTGTGTGTTGTTTCCCTCTATGTGTCCACGTGTTCTCATAACTTAGCTCCCACTTATAGCTGAGAACACATGGCATTTGGTTTTCTGTTCTTGTGTTAGTTTGCTAAATATAATGGTCTCCAGCCCCATTCATGTTCTTGAAAAGGACATGATCTCATTCTTTTTTATGGCTACATAGTACTCCATGGTAAAGGGTTGGAGCATTTTTCTTGATGTTGAGTCTTCTCTTGAGAACAACCCCTTTGCTGGGTCCCTGTGTGACTTCAAATCCTCTAGGTCACATTCATAGTTACAAAAACATTATGTTATCCCTTTCCTTGTCTGGGTAGTTTTAGAGTTTTTTATCAAGAGCTGAACTGAAAGATCACATTTGGAGGATACTACATGGCATCCAAACTGTACCCCAAACTGAACTTTTCTAAATTGGAGGTTCTGAATGGAATCGTTTGTAAATTTATCAACTGCATACATTGTTTTTAACATAAAACTTGCTTTGAATAAGACATTGTAGTGTAATGTTTGCGAGCATGAGTGATGGAGGCAGTCATTAGCCAAATTGCTTTGTCTCCCTGTGTTTCAGTTTCTCCATTGGCAAATGGGAAATTACTACTGACCTCATATTATTTGAATGAAGGCAAAGGATATAGCATATAAAAACTTCTTTGAGAGGAACTTGATGACACAGTCAACAGAAATAGTGCTCAATGTCAGTATAATAAGGCAGTTAGATCTATAACCTCTTATATCAGCCCTGCATAAACAATGAAAATATATGTACTAATTAATATTGATATTAGTTATGAAATAATGATTTGAATTTGTACACTACTCTTACTTTTCAAAATGCTGGTTTGATAGCAAATTTGGTTCCCAAGTTATCCTTTGCAGTAAACAAAACATGCAATCCCAATTTAACAGTGAAGACACTCTGGCCAAGTGGTACGAGTGATACTGAGTTCAGGTCACATTTACAGGAACTCACCCTTGGCTTTTGAGATCTGGATCAGCTCCAGTACCCTAGCTTTTTCCTTAATGCTCCCACTACAACATCCCATGCCTTTCACAAGTCTGATTTTGGTCAGCTCCAATAATCTTAAAAGTGCTGCCATCTTTCATAACCCTCAAAACAACCTTTCCTTCCCTTATTTTCTGAGCCTTCATTCACAGGGATGATGTTGTTTTGAATAAAAAGAACTATATGACAATAATCTCTTATGCTTTGCTCTTCAAAGAGTTCAAATATATGCTATGCTGTCAACCCACGATTATCACTTCCAGCTTCCTACTACATAATCAGGAGGTGAGGGGATATAAGTAGAGTCTCTAGTCTCACCTCACTTATGTACAACAGCAGGGTATAAAAACTGATTTATAGATGTGGGTGAAACAGAACATATTCATATATGCATATATACTAGTTTTCATAAGATTATAAAATACAGTACTATATATAAAATAATGTCATATAGTTTTTAAAAATATTTGTCTATGTATGTTATCATTATTATCATTAAAAATGAGGCTTCCTTATCTATGAAATGGAGATAATAGTAACTACTTCATGAAGCCATTGTAAGAACTAAATGAATACACATTAAACAGAACCGTCTCTGGTATATAGTACACAATAAATGTTGGCTGTTATTATAATAATTATTTTATATATTATAAAAAGATTCCTTTTTTGTAAACATTATTCACTACAGACTATCCTAAATACTTCGTTTCTTCAATGTATCAAATGTTTATATCTGTCAATACTTATTTTCTAATGCAACTTTCATAAAAATATTTTTCCATGAAGTGGCATATTATGTTCCTTAAAACATACTTATAGTTTGTGGTAATAAATGCACCATAAGTCAAACGACTTAAAGAAATAAAGGCAAACTGTAACTCAGAACCTATGAAACAATTGTTTTATACAATAGGGCCTTGTTCTAGTCCCACTGCCTGTGCTATATATATAAATATATTATTTATTACCTTAATTGATTCATCTTCATTTATGATTGTGTAATTCAGCACTGTTTTCAGAACAAATGGTATTTGGAAAGAATTCACTATGTTTACCTTGGTGCATTTGTGTCTAAGTTCTAGTACAAAGGAAGCTGTCATTCCGAAGGACTTGTACCCCTTCGGCCCATGATGATGACAGTCAGAGTTGAAAGTGCTTCTCATCCATTACTAAAGAGCATGGTCAGGGCTGGATCAAACATGTGCATCCAAAATGAGGACAAATAAACAGAGACAGCTCATTATACTGCTCCAGGGAAGGATGGTGTCTCAAAGTGCTTCTTTCTTTAGCCCTGATTTTTACTCCACTAACTTGAAAAGAAATCTTTACTTTGAACCCTTCCAGTCTACATAGACTTTGGTATATTTAGAACAGAGTTTTGAGCAATGTTTTCCCAAGCGTGTTGCATAGGACACTGGTGTTATGAAATAGTGATAGGTTTTTTTCAAAAACACACACACATGTACACACACACACACACACACAATCTATCAGGATTCCATGATTAAATAAAGTTGCTAGATATTTGGTTAAGCAGAGTTTATCAGATTTTTTTTTACTATGTAATTTCTCAGAGACCTAATGCTACTATCACTCTCTAAGAGGGTGCATGGTGAGCATCTCTCAGACATATTTATCTATGGACTCTCCATTTCACAAACTTTCCTATACTAGTGTTTCACAAAACACACTTTGGGAAACTCTTCTAGAATACCATCTGTTTGACATCTTTAGCCTGTATCCCTTTTCTCAATTCTGAATAGAATTTCTCTTTCTGTTTTGCATTTTTAATAAATTCAGTAATTTTCCCTTCTAGAACTGAAGGAATCCATCTACTTTATCAAGTACATTTTCTATTCTTGAAATTAACCATTACAAATTTTTGGTTAATTGTTTTGAAATAACTTAATAATTTATTGACCTAAATAATCAGTTGTGTTAATTCATAATTAAATATCAAATTAAAATATTCCAGAATCAAACTTCTACATAAGCCCATAAGTTTGCCTACACACTTATGTCCAACCAAATGGCAGGAAGTTGAATTTATGATTGTCATATGAACGCTGATGAGCAGACGCCATTATAAGTTCAGGAAACCAAAGCAATCAACATTGATAACCTCTACATTGTCTTATAATTAAACCATGTTAATAAATAAGTAAAAATAAAAGCATATTTATTATTAAAAATCATATTAATCTGGTACCAAGAAAACTCTAACGTTTAGGGATACCATTTTTCTTCAAAGTACATGATTCCTAAAGCATGCTAATATTAAAAAAAGAAGTAAACAGTCTTCAAAGGACTACACAGACTCTTAAATGCTAGGAAGCTATTGCTGATAACATTTCATTCCTCTCAAAACCTTGAGACTTAAATCTGGACTTGAGACATTATGATGTCTTAAATGTAAACATACTATGTATATTGCTTTGAACTAAAGAAAACAAAGTTTTTTAAATGCAGTAAGATTTGACAACCTCTATCAAACTCTATGGATCTAAGCTGTGGGTTAATTCCAAGGAATTTGAGTGCAAAACTGCATATAAACATACTGGCTACACTCACTTCTCTTTGTTTCTGAAGAAGAAAACCTATATATTAAAAAGAGAAAAACTAAATTCATAAAATCAATTGATGAAGTTGGTCTCAGCCTCCCATTACAATGAAAAGCTATGTTAAAACAAAATAAAAGGTATTGCCTAAAATTACCAGTTCGATACAATGTTCCCTAAGCTGCTCCAGTGTTGTCTATTACAAATCAGCAAATTCAGCACCTCTTCCACATTAAACTTGATTCCAAGTGTTTCAGGGCCTCAAACTGAGATCCAGCTTCAAGTTTCTGACATTAAAACCTTAATACGACATGAAAAATTCCCTTGGGCACATCTGGAGTAATCAGATTTCATGTAAATTATTAAATTACAGACATTCAATTATGTTTTCCCAATCTTTATTTAGAAATTCTAAAGGCCCTTAGAAAACATGCTTAAGCCAAAGGCAAAGTTGGCAAGTGAACCCGTTTACCTGCGAAAGCAAAACAAAGAAGGGACCTCACAATCCCACGAGGCACGTTGCAAAGTGGCACGCGATGTACCCCATCCCTATTGTGAGGCACAAATTCTTTGTAACACTGGGAGACACCGCAGAACAAAAATACTATTAGAAATGCTTCAAAAGGAACATTTTTGGCTGCGCTAGGGACTTTTGACATTATTTATTAGGTTCAAAAATGCTTCACAAAAGCCTAACAATGGTTCTGTGGAAACCAGTACATCTGAGGCCCTTTCTGTTGTTCTGAGCCGGCATTGATTTGAAGATGGGCAGCACTCGCCGAACAATTCCCTCGCAGCGGTCAATGTAAGTGAGCATTCACCACCGGCCTAGAAAGGGCCTGTGAACAAACCGTATGGAAACGCCGGGTTGGGAGGGGGGGTGCTGTGGAGCAAACCTTTATTAACCTCTTGGAGGGGAAATGGGTGGAAGCACTGGCCAGCAGTGGAAGGCGCGCTCCTGCCAGATTGCCATGAAGGGTGGTATCCTCCCGAGGCCTCCTGTCCCGCGGGGAATGAGGATGCTTAGGAAGCATCTCTGGCGCCATGGCAACCGCGCCTCTTCCGACCGGATTTCCGGACGCGCCCAGGAGTTCTCTTTGGAAGTCGGGGTGTGCCCGGGCGCCTGCTGGGGCTGCCATCCTCTCCTCTGGCTTGAGCTCTGCGTTACTCGGGCCGGCGCTCTGCTGGGCGTCCGGGGTCTGACTCGTCCTGCAGAGGCCGATAGCAGTGGCAGGTCTGGCGGCGGAACCTGGAAGGCAAAGAAGGGCAGGCATAAGGCTCAAGTGTGAGGGACCACACCGCTCCCTGGGACAACTGGATGTCCGAGAAATCAACATTTGTAATATGCTGGCGTGGGAGGGGGAAGAAAATCCAAACAAAACAAAAACCCTGACATGATCCTCACCTGCCTCCCCACATTTCTCCAAGAAAATAAAAATACTGTCTGTTCCTTTTCGTTCTTTGAAGCCACCTCCCCACCGCACCACCTCCCCAACGCCTCAAAAACAAAAAATAGCTTTTGCGGAATCCTCATAAAACTGTATTTCAAGGAAAAGTGTTCAAAACTTCTAAAGAGAGAGACACAGAAGAATCGGTGGCTAAAATAGGGCCCGAAATTTTAATGAGGGGAAAGTGTGTGAATGAAAAATTGTCAAGTGGAGTTAATAGATATATAAAGGCAAATGTGTCTCCAGCCACTTTAGACTGGCAACCGATAATTTTTTAAATACAAAGAGGCTGTTACTTCATGAGTTTTATTGGAAACTTCAAACCAGCTGAAGATTAAAACAAACAGTAAAATAACCTAAGACTGGATCTACATAACACACATATACCCACTAATACTGTTTGATTTTTCTTCTTTCTTTGCCCAACCAAATCATTTTCCATTCAAAAGATGCATTTTTTTTACAACATAGCCAAGACTGCTATCTGTGTGTGTATGAATATATATATTCACATACATACATTTTACCTACATTTTCATATATAAACTTCCATATTATATATATTATATATATGAACTTGAAGATGTATAAATAAATACATATATAAATCATGAAGCTTTACTTGAGAAATTCTGCCCATTGACCTACACAAATTAAAGTCTAATTCTTCAGTAGTGACAAGATAAATTTATGTGCTTTAAATCACTTTCTGGAAGCTTTCAAAAGGTTTGTAATAGCATACAGATGTCTAGAATATTTGGAGCAACTCAGATCATTCCAAAATTCAAAAAATATGTAAAAGAATTAAAATGAATAGTACCTTCCTAACAGTGGCTGTCAAACAGCCAGTCTATCTTTAAGTAATTCAGTTTAGTTCATCATACCCTGTTCTGTGTCTGGTATATACTGAGCACCCCCCACTGCACACTCCACATGCCCAAGTCAAACAATGAAATTGTTTTGTGAATCTGAATTCTCCAATGCAGGAATCACTTCCTGAAATAAAGGTGGAATGGCATTTTAATATCTCCCGTGTATTGCTTTGTGAACACAAGGTGCTTAATAGCTGTTGATAGGGATTTCTGGCCCTCTCAGATGAACCATGCACTGCCATCAATATTCAATGTAAGAAGAATCCACCAGAGAACACTGATGAAGCTTTGGAGCAGGGCATGACCTAGACAGGATGTGCTCTCCTATAACTTGAGCCAAAAAATAGAATTTCCTTCCCTGAAAGCAATTTAATAATGATACATTTTGCAACAAACTGTTTTAAAGGGGCAGTGTGGTATAATGAAATAAAGCTTTGGGATCAGGACTTCATAGATTCAAATCTTGGCAAATTACCTGGCCTAAGTCTCTTTATCCTTACCTGAAAGATGGGAATTATATTACCTACTTCGCAGGGTTGCTGGTGAGATCGTGTGTGTGCATTCACTCATATTTGAATGCCTGGTATGTGTTCGGCAGTATTCTAGACCTTGGGGAGACAGAGGGAATATGGCAGGCAATAAAAAGTAGGGAGGAGAAGCAGACTAACAAGTGAGTGAATGTATAAATTTTAAGTGCCAGCTGGTAATAAATACTATGATGAAAAATAAACTGAGAAGGGAAGTTGAGAAAGACCTAAGTCCATGACATTTCAAGTCAAAGACTTGAAAGGAGAAAGGAAACTAAGTATCTGAGGAAAGAACCTGACAAAATGTTAAGCATCAAGTACATAGCAAGTGCTCAGTACCCAAGTGTTACTATAGTCACATTTAGAACCTTAATATAGAAATACTCTGACCTGGACTCTGCACGAAACCATGAGAAAATAATAGCTTCTATCTCAGAAGAGGGTCATGTGGATCAAAATTGAAGATGTACATTCCAATTTCAACATAATCGCCTTGTTCATAGTAAGACTCCAAAAGTGTTAACCAACCAGCATCTTCTGTTTCCCATCATCAAGCCCAGCCTCTCAGAAACAAAGGACTCTGACTCAGCCTTTTTGGAAGAAGGTCTCCCAGCCCCCTGCTTGAACACTTCTAGCCCATGCAGTACATTCTCTCCTAGTTCAAAGAAAGGCCTCCTTTATATTGAGTCAAAATCGATCTCTTTTGTCTTCTGGTCAATTCCAACAAACTATACAAACATGTGAAAGGGAACCTACCCCAAAAGGTCCCTATAAAGCAGGGGTGTCCAATCTTTTGGCTTCCCTGGGCCACAATGGAAGAAGAAGTCCTTGTTTTGGGCCATAAATAAAATACACTAACACTAATGAAAAAAAAACTCACAAATAATCTCATCTTTTCAGAAAGTTTATGAATTTATGTTGGGCCACATACAAAGCCATCCTGGGCTGCATGAAGCCCATAGGCCATGAGTTGGACAAGCTTGCTACAAATGGAAAGACTACACAACATCAGTCTCATCCTTCTGCTACATGGCAGCTCCTAGAATATTTGGAGATCTGCATTTTTTCCCTTACATTTTCTCTCCTCTAGTCTGAACATCATCACCATAAGTACCACCACCATCATCACCACCACTATTAAGCCCTTACTATGTTCAGGAAATTTTATTTACATAAATCATTTAATCATAATCTTTAAAGTAAGAATTGTCATTTTTTACAGATGAAAAAACTGGGTTCCAAAAATATTTATGGGACTTGATGGTGGCTACAGAGCTGAGATGGGAGAGAGTTGATATTTGAGCTCAGTTCTTTCTGGTTCCAATGCTTATCCCTTCTGGGCCATCTCCTTACTTTGAATCATTCCTCCTCTACCCTGTGCCATGAATTCACAACTTCCCTATCTATAAAATGGGAATAATAATATGATCTGCCTGAATATTATATGAGGATTTAATAAAATAATACAAAATGCCTAGCACAGTGTCTAGCACCTGGTGAAAGCTTAATAAATGGGGCTGGAATGGGTGATGATAATAATAGCTGTTATTGTCAGGTACGATAACTGACTCAGCAAATTACCTGTTATCAATGCACACCGGTTCTCTCCTCCAATATAATGCGTGGCTACAAGCAGAGTTTCATTGAGGAATGGCTACTACAGTTCTTACAATACCTTCTAGAATAGAACTGGCCATGAAGTCAATATGTTTTCTGTTTTTATTGAAGTTTAAAACAAAATGTGACCAGTTGAAACAAGAAAAGTTAGTAATCACAACATGATACTTACTAGAATTTTTCTTGAGATGGCTCAAGGTCTGGCCCTTAGGTCTTGTGTGTCTATGCATTTGTATGCCCCCAGCCTCCAGGTGAGCAGGATTTACTGAGTACACCCAGTTAGGCTTTTTTACTGGTTCTTCCAAAAATGAACAGTTCCAAGCTTGCTTGGGTGTTCCTCTGGCTCTCCCCTCAGTTTCTCCTCTGGCAGTGAAAATCAGTGGGGCCTCATCAGTTTCACTGGATGGTGCTGAAGAGGAACAGAGTTCTTCATAGCTTTCTTCATCAAGAGAAACTGCGCTTACAGAAGATCTGGGGACTATGTACTGGCAAGTAGAAAGTAGTCTTTTCCACTCCACTGAACTCTGAGTCCTTTCTGAAAATACTGTAAAAGGCAAACACATTTGTTTGAAAAATGCACTCAATAACAGCTGCTAAATTAACGGCAGGAAAGATGACATCAGGTAATAATGTAAACCTTTGATTGCCTGATTTATGTTTCTACTCCGAGTAAATAAAAGTGACAGACTGAGACCGCTGAGTAGGAGAAGAGGAGGGGAGGGTCTGGAAAGGGTCTGGAAAGATTGCGGATGTTTGTGTTGAGTTCTAGTTATGTTGCAGGTACGTGTGAGGCCCCAGACATGTTTGTCACTGAATCCTTGCAAGAACCATATCTAGCAGATAGTAGTATTATCTCTCTTGTGCAGGTCAGAAAGCTAGTTTTGAGGCTTATGGGTTGAACTGTGTTCACCCAGTTTCCTCCCTGAAAAATAAAAAGAGATACATTAAAGTCCTAAACCGCTCACCTGTGCACGTGACCTTATTTGGAAATAGGTTCTTCAAAGATGTAACCAAATTAAGATGAAGTCATTCTGGATTAGGGTAAGCCATAATCTAATAGGACTAGAGTCCTTATAAGGAAAGGAAACCGAGACACACAAGAAAACACCATGTGAAGACCAGACACATGTGCGCGTGTGTGCACATGGGTGTGTGTGTTTGTGTGTACATGCAAATATAGGATTCAGATTTGAGTGTTGAGATCTCTTTTGGGGAGAGGAGTGCTCTGAAAGAGATGAAAAGATACAAGATTCATTTGCCTTTATCTTATTACCCAAGCCAATTCTTTTTGAGATTCTTGCTTTCATATAAATAAAAATGAATTATGGTTGGCTTCTAAGTTAAGATATTCTTCACAGTGGTATGAATGCAAGCTCTGAAGCTTGGTGAGCTGGGCGTGAATCCTGATTCTACAAAATACTACATGTGTAGCCAGGACAAGAGTCTCTAGGTTTTACTCTGCCTCAGTTTCTCATTTGTAAAATAGGAATAATCATATCTACCTCTAAAAATATTGCAACTATTAATTGTAGATTAGATAATGCACATAAAGTGCTTAGGGTGGTAGCTGGCATTTAGGAAACACTTAACAAATGCTGAACATTATAGAGTATGCTAGAGTTTATATGGAAGAATCCTTAATTATAATGATACATGAAATTATATGATTTTGATTTTTAAGAGGCAAAGAATAAAAACTGGAAGAAAATCAAATTAACAGTTGTTTCTCCGAGGTATAATTCAAACTCTGGGTAACTTCTGTGTAATATTCAAATTTTATGTACTGAATATGTATTACTCTTATAATTCAGAAATTAATTAAACAATGCAGATACACTTTAGAGAGTCAATGTAGTTTAGCATTCCTTACCATTTATATAATCAGATGACGTGTCACCTAACAGTAACATGGAATGAGATTAGTCATGGAGGGAACAGGATGAGGAGGGATAAATGTTTAGAGCTTTGGGATCTGTTTGGGTGAGGTGTTGAGCAGACTTGTCTGGGCAAATAAAGGGCAATTTGCAGGAAGGGCATTGGGCCTGAGGTAACATGAACAAATGACCTAGCTTGCTGTGGTATAAATTGTGTCCCCTAAAAGGTATGTTGAAGTCCTACCCTCCTGTGCCTGAGAATGTAACCTTATTTTGAAATCAGGTCTTTGCAAATATAACTAAGCAAAAATGGTGGTCCTTAATCCAATATGACTGGTGTCCTCATAAGAAAGGAAGACAGAGACATAGACATGCAGGAAGAACTCCATGTGATAAGGGAGGCAGAGATTAGAGGGATGTACCTACATAAGCCAAGGAGAACCAAGTATCACCAGCAACCACCAAAAGCTAAGAAAGAGGCACTGAACGGCTTTCTCCTTCAGAATCCCCAGAAAGAGGCAACCCTGCTAATACCGAAATTGGGACTTCTGGTCTCCTGAATTGTGAAAAACATAAATTCATGTTGTTTTAAGCCAGGCAGTTTGTGGTACTTTCTTATAGCAGCCGTGGACAACTAATTACCTACGATAGTTCCAATTTACACACATTGTCCCAGGGTACAGTTGACCCTGGAACAATACTAGTTGGAACTGAGTAGGTCCACTTATATGGGAATTTTCTTCTGCCTCTGCCACTCCGAGGCAGCAAGATCAACCTCTCCTCTTTCTTCTCCTCCTCAGCCTACTCATCGTGCAAAGATGAAGACCTTTATGATGAGCCACTTCCACTTAATGAATAGTAAATATTTTATTATTATTTTCTTAATAACCTTTTCTTTAGCTTACTTTACTGAAAATTACAGTATATAATACATATACATATAAAATATATGTTAATCGGCTATTTTTTTTTTGAGATGGAGTTTCACTCTTGTTACCCAGGCTGGAGTGCAATGCCGCAATCTCGGCTCACCGCAACCTCCGCCTCCTGGGTTCAGGCAATTCTCCTGCCTCAACCTCCTGAGTAGATGGGATTACAGGCACGCGCCACAATGCCCAGCTAATTTTTTGTATTTTTTTTAGTAGAGATGGGGTTTTACCCTGTTGACCAGGATGGTCTCAATCTCTTGACCTCATGATCCACCCGCCTTGGCCTCCCAAAGTGCTGTGATTACAGGCTTGAGCCACCACACCCGGCCCTAATCGGCTATTTATGTTACCAATAAGCTTCCAGTCAACAGAAGACTACTAGTAGCTAAGTTTTGGGGGAGTCAAAAATTGTAGGCAGATTTTCAACTGCATGAGGGGTCAGCACCCCTAATTTCTGCCTTGTTCAAGGGTGAGCTGTAATTATTAATATCAGCCCTTTTCACTCAAATAAAAAGTGTCTAGATTTGGGGGATTAAAAAGAGGGAAAACCATGAATTGGTAGGTGTGAAATGGAAGAAGGAACAGGTTAGAGTTCTCGAGCTCTACCAGGTAGAAGCGACCGTGCTGGCATGTAATGACTTGTAGCAAGACACATATTCTGCATTGAGAGCACCATCAGATGGCAAAGAGGGTGCTGGCCACGCCAGGTGCCCAGACACAGTCCTCTTGAGCTACAGCTTTGTCTGAGAGGGGAGACCAAAGCAAATGCTTTCAGAGGCCAGAAGGATGACAAATGAAAGAAGGGTCCAAATGGAGATACCCTGGGGTGTTATGTTCCAGTATAAGGGGTCAGAGACCTTCAGATCCTATCTTTTATTGCCATGAGAGAATGTGGGTCCACTGTAGACAGTTGATATAGTTTGTATACTTGTACCCCACCCAAATCTCATGTTGAACTGCAATCCTCAATGTTGGAGGTAGACCCTGGTAGGAGGATGGTTTAGCATCATCCCTTTGCGGTGATAGTTCTTGTGATAGTGAGTGAGTTATCCTGAGATCTGGTCATTTAAAAGTTTGTGGCACCTCTTCCCCTCCTCCCCTTCTCCCCTTCTCTCTTTCTCTCTCTCTCTCTCACTCTCTCTCTGACTCTCTCTCTCTTTCTCTCACTCTCTCTTCTCTCTCACTTTCTCTCTCACTCACTCTCACTCACTTCTCTCTCTCTCTCTCTCTCTCTCTCTCTCTCTCTCTCTCATAGCAGCCCTGGAAAATTAATTACCTACAATAGTTCCAATTTACACACATTGTCCCAGAGTACAGTTGACCCTTGAACAATACGAGTTGGAATACTCTCTCTCTCTCTCTCTTGCTCGCTCACTTGTTCCTACTTTTACCATGGGACATGCTTACTTCCCCTTCTCTGGAGCCAATTAAATCTCTCTTCTTTGTAAATGACCCAGTCTCAGGTATTACTTTACAGCAATGTACAATAGTCTTTCTGGATTTTCAGGAAAAGTAGAAATAAATATATCTATGCATGTGAAAACCTCTGAGTTTTAAATGTTGGTAACATTTCAGGTTTTTTGTAATGTAGTGTGAGATACACAAAGCACAACTACTTTTGGAATCATCACAGGCCACCAAATTGTGTCTTTAGCCTATGCCAGCCTTGTAAAGGCCACACTATCAATTACCTCCTTTCATAGAATCTTCACCCCAGACCATGATTTTATAAATATTCAGCTTAGAGCAGTGGGAATGCATTTGCAAACCCTGTGCACAGCCAATTTTAGAACTCTAGAAATCTGGTCTACCTCCAACACGTTAGGCTTTTCATTTTCATTTTAATTGCTTGCCTCATTTCATCTTAAAAAATGTCTACCAGAATTTGCAACAGTGGACAAATTTAGCAGCCTTTCTCAAATACAGAGAAACATTTAGAATTTTTCAAAACAGTCGCACTGGATCTCTTGATCTTAAAGGAAAACAAACAACACTAGAACCAATAGCATTCTATCTGCCCTTGTTCTGTTGCTCAAACATCAGGAACAAGATGGAAAGCCTGAGGCACTTTATACCCTTTTGCGTTCCAGGAGTTATGGTTTGAAAGAGATCTTAAAGGACATCTGAGGCTGAGCCTCCACCAACTTCAATATCCATCTCTGTTTAAATGCCTCCTGGATCTTATGATCTGTGCATCAAGAATTTCACTGCTTCTCAGAAGAGAAAGTGACTTTGTGTCTGCAGTATTAACAGGCACCGTGTGTGTGTGTGTGTGTGTGTGTATTCTCTATTCTTAAGTATAGGGAATAATTATTAAAGCCACTAGGTATGACGTTGGGACAGGTGGAGATTGTGCTTATTTATTCAGTTTTTCAAGCAATATTTATAGATTCTACCATATACTAGGTACTACCCAGTGATTATATGATTACCCAGGCCAATAGAAGGGATCACTTTGAGACTAAGTTGACCAGCTGATTTATTGCAAAATGAACTTCAGCACAGCAAACCAGAGCCTTCTAGTCTCTCAGACCCCTGAATGAACTTTGGGTTACCTCTATGATACAACTACAATTCCCAGGTTGCCCAAGTGGCTACAGCAACCAATTGTTTTGGCATTAAACAACCAGAAACAGAGACTGTTGGAAATGGAAAGTCCTTTTGCGATCTCCAATGCCTTTTATTAATAGTATTCTTTATGATTTTTCAAATCTACCATTCTAGATAGTGACAGAACTGGA